TCCTGTTCAGCATCTCATGAGAGGATTTGGAATGTGTGTTAAGAACTCAGCGGTTCTGATCTACCTACACAGTCAGAGCTGTCGGATTACACTGTCATTTGTGTTGAAACAATAAGCCGTTAGAGAGAAATGGCATTGTTTTTCTATTTATCCAGGCAGGACATGCTGCCTTTTCCTTAGGTTTGACTAATCGGAAGTCAGTCTTTTGAGTTCCTTTCTGATGATCTTATTGCCCACTGCAAAGTCTTATGAGTAACGACTTCCATTAATTTAGACCGTTGAATCCTGTACAGCATGCAGGAGTCACTCCTGATGGTTGACGGCGTAACATAAGGCTTTTAACAAGACACATGGCAAACAGTTTAAGCTGTTAGATAACCAAGCTAATAGTAGCGACTAGAAACAAATTGTCCATAGTTTTGTTTGTTTGTTTTAAGCCCATTTATGCCATGGTCTGTCTGAATATGCGATAGGTGTGCATTAAAACCGTTTAATGCACAGGTAGTTCCATGTTTAATCACCGTTCTATATTAATGCGCTGCTTTCATTGACCCACACAAACACACACACACACACACACACACACATCACTTGCACACAGAGAGAGAGAGATCAGAGATCACGCTGCTCACACACAGAAGCATTCAGGAGCACAGAAACTTGTCAATGCTGCCCCGCGACATTTATTAAAGGGGTGGTTCACTGTTTTTTTTTCTAGGCTTGATTGTGTTTATGGGGTGCAGTCTAACATGTTAATGCTTAGTTTGAAGAAAAAAAAAACTCATTATTTTTCATATAATTTACCTTTATTCCACACAGCTCTGTCCCTTCTCTGAGAAATGGGCTGATGTTTTCCTGTTTTTATGAAGCCCCGCCCTAAGAAATAGGCAATGGGCTCTGATTGGTTAGCTAGCCTAGTGTGTCGTGATTGGCTAAACCGCCTCTAGCGCGCGTCTAAACATCCCGCCCCTCACCTCAGCGGCATGTGCTCCGGTTGTATTGTAAACAGCGGCATCGTTAATATTGCTTATCAGCTTGAGCCCGATTGAGAAGCAGAGGATATTATTGAAGAGGATCGTGCAGAACCTGTGCAAGCACGGCTTGTGCAAGCATAATGGTAGGCCTATGTTTTTTGTTTGTTGTTGTCTCATACTTTTAGATATGCTCTTATTTGTAAATGCTACTGCTTATGTTAGCTTTTAATATATGGTTTTATCCTGATTAAAGCTTTAATACAGTACGGCAACCGCAGTCGCATCCATGTTTAACACTTCTCATAGCTATTTGAAAATAAGTGTATAATTGGAACAGTTCATTGCTGGAGATGAGCTGAATGAGAGAGAGAGAGAGAAGCAGAGATGCAGAGCGTGTGCAGAGCAGGGGGACGCAAGGAACAGTATTAAGAACCGCTGCTTTTGAACATTGATTTTGAAACTTGTGAATCCATTAGAATCATTAGAAGACAGAATCGCGATTCATATATGAATAGATTTTTACGTGCACCTCTAGTTTTCTCTTCCTCTTCTCTAAAGCAGTGCAGCATGGCCTCGCCCTCTTTGCTGTCTTTTCCCGAGGGAGGGGTTTATCTGGGTTTGTGATGTCACGAACCCAGGAAGTAACTTGTTGTAGCCCCTACTAGGGATGGTTATCGTTTTAATGGTATTACTACTCTTACCGATACTGCTTATCGATTCGGTACTTTAACGGTAGTCTTATCGGTACTTTTTTGTTTTATATATATATATATATATATATATATATGACAAATTAAGAGCTGAATTAACATTGCTTTATATTCTGAAACATAAAATAAATATGTAATGAAATGAATATAAAACATGTTTAAGTAAATACTCTCCAAGCCGGCCATTTTGACACATTTTTTGTGTGTATTTGATCGATTGGACATGCCCCAGAAGCTCAAAGTGTAATTGGTTTGTCCGTTTTGGAGCGCACCGCGCGCACACATTTCAGCCTGAGGAACACCGTCTCTTGTGCGGATTGTGCTTTCAACGTTTTATCATCAAACATGTCCCGCAATTTAGCAACAGTAAAGACGGCATCTTACAACAATCACCGACTGAGCTGATTCTGACGTTAAGTTTGGGTTTTAGGGAGGAACGAATGTGCACCGCTGTGAAGGGAAAGAAGTTGCGCAATACGAAACGCAGCTAGTTTTTAATAGCTTTACCTCATGTCTTCTTTTGTATAATCCTTAGAAGCCAAAATCGAAATAAACATTTTTTATTAGCTTAAAACAGCCACAGGCCTAAAGTGTAAGCAGATATTTGAATGTTTAGTTCTCTCTTCTATCATAATTAAACAGGGCTTTCATGTTGCGCGTGCTGAAGCTCCTCCGCGTGAGTACGATCTCGCTTCTGAATTGCGAATAGCAAAAATGCATCATAGACAAATGTTTGAAAAACTGCTGGCGACTCTGGTGAGATAGAATTTGCAAGATAATGTATATATAGCAATAATGTATGTGTGTTTTATCAATTTTTCCAGTACCGATAGCAGAACCGTTAACGTCAGAGCTTATCGATACTCCGGTCTTTCATAATTTAGCCCTGGGACCAATTAAATACCGGGTTTCGGTACCCATCCCTAGTCCCTACTAGGCTTGCCGCGATAGACTGTGTTGACGGTGATACTGGTGTTAAGCCGCAACACCGGTTACGTCACTTGCCCACCGCGTCACCGACCCCCACCGTCGTTTAGATTTTTTTATAGTAATAAAAATAATTTAGTTCAGTAAAAGAACAGACACCACAATTAAAAACTGAACGCAGCTACTCAATGCAGCGTGCCGAACGACAGTCTCATCACACAGATCAGATTTCATTTATCCAGCGGGGAGAGTGAGTCCAGCTGACTGACAAGAAGAGTGAAGTGAGACAGACAAGACGATCACGGATTATTTAGTTTCGAAACAAGATGCAAAAGCACCTATTTGGCAATATTTTGGATTTTGAAAAGCCTGTTGACT